ATACATACATACATACATACATACATACATATATACATATATATATATATATATATCTATATATATATATATAATGGTTGTAGATTTTTAACATATATAGAATAACATAGTTCAATTAATGCAAAAGGGCGTTTACACCTATCGATGTATGCTCTAAGTTGAATTCACATATTTTGGCTAAGTCGTATTATTTTAGTAAGACATTCAGTTAAACGTATATTTATAAGTTAAATTTAAACTGGTAATTCTTGATGATGTAATTAGGTATGTATATTTATCTCGCATCTTGCATACAAGCAATACAACAGTCTTTTAATTTGATTATTACTGCTTCAAAATACTGATCAAATAACAATCTTTTAAAATTTTTTAAGTAACCAAATGTGATCAAACCAGATGTGCTAATAAAAATAAAAATAAAAAACATGATTGGTTTTCAACACTTAAATGTTATCAGAATATAATCAGATTGAGAGGATTGAAAATATATAAAAATTATTGTAAAATTAAATTCTTGCTACAAATAAAAATATAAAAAATCAAATTAAATAAAAGTCATGAACTAAAGAAATCGTAAAAGAATATGCCTAAAATATTACAGCAGGTATCTTTTTATATTGAATTAAGTGCATTGACAAATCACCATCCCATTGAATTTTTCAAAGACTATGACTTCAACAGATAAAAGATTAAGCTCCTCAACCGAAGTTACGTTTATATATAATTAATTTGAGTAATGATTTACCCATTCAAAGCTTTATCTTCACATAGAAACAAAAAATATATTTTTTATTTTTTTTATATGTTGACTTCCTGCCATTTTTTATTTTTATTTTATCGAATGGACGAAGCATCACTCAATTGACTGCATACTATTATTTGCAATTGACTTAAACGTTAATTGGCAGTAAACACCATGCTTTCTTTTCCCTCTCGCTTTCTCTTTGTCAATGTATACATACCGTGTATGACAAAGTACAGATTCCATTCCAATCAACATGTACCAAAGGGGTTTCATTAATGTAAGGGGGAGGAACGCAAGGAGACTAAATTTATAAAGAAAAATAGGAGGGAGAAAGGGATAAATAAGAGAAATAAGTAAGGGAATAAAATGAAAAATATTTAAGTGCCGCATACATTTTACCATAATAAGCTTAGTTACGTAATGATTACATGTCAATTGCATTATAGAGCAAACATTAAGAAAAAAATAATGAATCAAAAAGCCGAGATTTGAGTGTATATATATATGATGTATACGTACGGGTGAAGAAAGTGCTCAAAAAGCCATGATCTGAGTATGGTGACGGATCTGTCAGGCAATCCTCGCTGAGGTCTCCAGGCCTCCTGCTCCATCATTCCCATCTGATGAAAAGCTTTCTGTTGCCTCAGATTCTGATCAATCAGCCTTAGCTTCGGCGTATCCCCTTTTGTGAGCCCTGAACCGATCATTGTCACGAAGAAGCTCGCAGGTCCGCCTCAGCTGAGCAGCGATGGCATCTTTGAGGCATCTGAAATGCCTCGACATAGCCTTCCTCGCAAGTGCTGTGTATGGCATTGCAGCGCCGAAACCCATTAACGAATCAAAGGAGTTCACCACCATTTGCATCTGCTCGCAATAGTGGTTGTATCTCCTCTCCACCTGCGCCCGCGCATCAAAATTTAAATTTTATTATAAATCTCATATCAATTAAATGCATGGCATGCCAATTAATTAATTAATTTCATGCAAAAACTTATCTGTTCATTAAGTTATATAAGTAATTCAAACATATAGACGTAGGTGACGTTTCCAATTTCATGATGAGATGCATTGATTGCTGTTTTATTAAATTTGTTTGGTTTGCATGCACGCACCAATAATACTATAATCGAGATGATCAGACAAAGACTGCTCAACAAACTGGGGAGTAGGGCCTCACCTATACACCACATTCCACCAGTCTATATATATATAAACCGCGTCCATGTATGCTGCAAATCCAAAATTTAATGATGCTGAGAGCTAGGAGAATTGTAGGTGGAATTATATTATGATTATTAATTCAAGGTGTTATTGTGCGGAGCAGAATTGGATATCTGTCGCAAGTGGAGGGCAAAAAATCGAACATAGGGTGTCCCCAAGGTTTCTGCTATAATTCAGCCGTGAGATTATAATTAGGAGCCAGGTTCTTCTCCATCAGTCCGAACCTCGTCAAATAAAAAAATCACAACTGGCAAATTCAGAAGACATAAAAAACAAATTTTCAGTTGCAACTGAACAATCGATGAGGTGGGAGATAATTTATTATTAGTCCATTACTATGATGTAAGGCTCTAATTAAAAATGTATGACTGATTATCACATTACTGTTGAGAAGTTGAGAAAATAAGTGCAAATTCGCCGGTGTTGATCAATTTTGAGTATTTCCCGGTGGCCCTCGGCAACAAGCAAGAATTCAGTACATGCATACTGACCCTAACTAATAACGAGATAGCAATTTTACCATGGCGAATCGATCTGCACTACGTCACTACGTGTGTGTGTGTGTGAAGAGAGAGAGAGAGAGAGAGAGAGAGAGAGAGAGAGAGATGGTTAATTAGTTAATTACGCTTGCCTCGTCAAGCATGGATAGGAGTTTTGATTTCTTTCTCTGGTTCTCGAAGCGATCGGCCGGAGACAAGGGCGGTACGTCCTTGGAAGAGGAGGATGAGGCTGCTGCGGGCAGGGCAGTGCTGGAGGCGCCACCACCGCCGCCGTGGCTATGGTTGGTTGGATTAACAAATGAGGTCCTGATGCCAGTTGTATTTCCTCTAACGTGGCCCCTACTTACGCTGCAAAACTCCTCCAGCAGCTCCTGCGCTGCCCGAGAGTACTTGGAATTCCTTAGAACGTTCGCTGCGCTCATCGATCCGAAGCTCGATGACGACATATGTAAGTGCTCAAACTGACTTTGATGACTGGCTTGCGACTGCAACATAGCTGTCGGCGGCGGCGGCTGCTGAATACTTGCCGGGTGCAGCTGCTGCTCTTGCTGCCGTTGGCTGTTGTAGGATTTTCCTGCCGTTGGCTGTTGTAGTATAAGAAGGCAGCTGCAGATCCCTGTGATCGAACCCCTCTCATCTCATCCGCTTTTCTCATCTCCAACTGCTGCAGCGACGAAGATAGCGAAAGCAAGGGCCCTGATTGGCTTTCCCTCATCCCCCCTCCCCCTCCAAAACTCATGCCTTCTCCGAATATCGCGGCACCGGCGCCGCCTCCCAAGAAAGCCTGGCTTTGGACGTCGTGATGATGATGAAGCAACTGATGCGGATGATCGGGAGAAGCAGAAGAGAGTTCAAGGGCACTTTGTCACCTGTCTGCGGCTGGTTCATGAAGAAGAGTCGCATAGCCGTTGAAGAGGAGGAGGAGGAGGAATCAGCAGCTGGGTTCATTCCATGCTGCTTAACCACCAAAGCCGCTGCATCTTCATGGATAACTGAGGAGCTCCAATTACTAGTGTTTACAATATTAGCCGCGACACTGCTGCTCATCACCTGTCCGTGGGGTCTGTTGCTGCCCCCATAAAAGTCGGGCCTGATGTGCTGGATCAGGCGATGGTAGCCACCAGCTGATGGATTACTGCTCTCATGACCAGAAGCAGCAAGAACGTCGGCATGGCCGGCATAATTGAACATCTCCGACAACATGTTGTTGGTGGGTCCTGCAGCCACGGGAGCCCCGTAGATGCTGCCTTCCTCCTCCTCCTCCTCCTCCTCTATAGCCACCAAAGAATGACCGGCCGCAATCGCAGCAGCAGCATCGAAGCCAGTTTGTACTCTCAGCTTCTCTGATCGCCTATTTTGCCGCTCCACGTTCTGCTGCTCCCTTTCGAACTGTTGTTCATCGGAGGAGAAGCTGAAGATGTTTCCTTGGTGCATGGAAGATGCCTTGGGACATAGATATAAAATTTCGAGCGAAATTAGATGGCGGCTGCGGCGGCGGCGGCGCTATACCCATCTCACAGCCAGTTTCTTGTTCATCCTCAGCGCAAGTCAATATATCCTCCCTAATTCCTGCCATACAAAGATAAATTAAATTATATATAAAATAATATATTGTTATTTTTGCTTCTTCTTCAATCCATATATGTTTCCCTTAAAAACACGGGATCCAGGAATTTCTTTACCTGCTTGGACATCTGGTGTCGTCGATGAAAAATCCCAGCTCTCAATTTTAACGAATCCATAGCCGGTAAAAATAATGAATTGAAAGCCTCTTGATCTTCCTCCATGCCACCACCGACTGATCCATCCCCTTCTTTATCCTTTCTCTCTCTTCCCCTCCGACAATCGCCTTCTGAAAGGGAAGAAGATGAGGGTTAAAACTAAAAAAAAAAAGAAAGAAAAATGATTATAGAATAGCGGCGGGTATCGAACAGGCCAAAGATAATGGGTCGCTGTTCCTTTCCCTCCCCCACTCTCCTCCCCAACAGTACCCATTGACTCATTTCCCCCTATTTTTTTAGTTTTTATTTTACTTCCAGCCACCTATGTACAATAAATAAATTAAGACAAATTGCTCCCCAATATTATAAAAAATCGAATTTTAAGAAAAGAAATGGACCCCCCCGCATCATCACACTAGAAACGTAGAATTTGCAGAATCCCAAATTACTACACTAACACTTTTATAGCAAAAATATAAAATTTTGATTAATATTTATATATAATTTCAATTTTAATAAACATACAGGCAAACTGATTGACTTAATGATGCGGTTTAATGATGTCAAAATTAGTTCAATCCGAGTCAAATTAATCAAATCAAACCGTTAAACCATTTTTTAAACTTTCAATGCAAAATTTGAATGTCATACAAACTTTAAATCTAACAAGTTTATTGTTAAATCGAGCATCTCGACCATATGAACCCAAGGAGCCTAAGATCGTTTAATTTGTCATCATTAAGATACTCAAATATTCATTGAATGTTATTCGATCAAGGAAATCTCTCTAGACCATCTCATGGATTGTTTCTCTCTGGACCATCCCAAGGATTGGTCTGAAATTCTTCGTTATTTGCAGAGATGACTCCCCTAAACTCTATAAATATAGCCTTAGCCCCCACTTGCAAGGGGGTGACCTACACCTAGAGTGAGAAGAAGACCGAACTTGGAGGAGTTGAAACTCAAAATCATTTTTGCATTGAAGATCCAACAAATTTCTCTCACCCAACTTCTACCCCCATCGACCACCCTCTCACATCAACCATTGTTAGCCACCCCTAACTCATTGCAATGAAACCAACTTGGAATCACAATGTGTGCTGCGGAATCCCGGTGTACGTTACGAAGCAACGTGTTATACTTCATAACAATACATCCTGAAAATAGTGCATTGACATAACCAATGATGATGTAAAAAATGAACCCCACATGCGGTGTGACGCTGCATCCCGAAGATAGTTTAATAATGCATCCAGGGGATGATGACTTTCTTTTGACTCTTAAAGCCCCGTCTTTGCAACCCACCACTACGATCTATGTGACAAACTATGACTTATGTAGTCCACAACTTGTGGATCTACTGCATCCAACCTCTGCAGCCTACGGACATCATCACAGATCGTCATTTCGGCCAACGTGGCTGTCTACGACCTATGTGGCTTACATCATGAGCAGCTCCCGACTCAAGTCTGTACGACACCCCACATACATTATCATAAATAATGCAGCTTAAAACTCTGGCATATGCAACCCATAGATGATATTAAGCTCATGCAGCTTCCGACTTCGGCCCTTGCGACCTATAGATGACATCACAAGCCATCTTACAGCCTATGTGATCAACTATGATATATGTGATTCATAGCTAGTGTAGCTCATGAATCTGGCCCCTGCGGCCTACATATGTCATTGCAGTTAGCACTACAACCTAGTGTAATACATGGAAAATAATACTCACTATAAGAGGACCTATCGTCATGATTCATATATTTTGCTTTTCTATATGATGTGTGTTGAACTATATGGATCAAGTGGGAGAATATTGGGAAATAAATTTATTTCCTTAGGATTCCTAAATTAATTAATGTTAGTAAATAAATTTCTTTCTTTAGGATTCTCCAATTAATTAATGATGGGAAATAAATTTATTTCTTTATGATTCCCAAATTAATTAATGATGGGAGATAAATTTATTTCTTTAGGATTCCCAAATTAATTAATGTTGGGAAATAAATTTATTTCTTTAATTTCTTTAGGATAATTAATAATGAGAAATAAATTTATTTCATTAGGATTCCTAAATTAATTAATGTTGAGAAATAAATTTAAGAATATGGTCTAAATTTAAGAATATGGTCTTTAAGAATATGGTCCATATAGTGTCTAGGTTCAATACTAAAATTTAATATCGTTTCATAAGTATGTCCTGCACACGTTCGTTGAACTCTGTGATGGGCTGAGCAGTATAAATAAGACGTGATGCTTACTGTTTTGGTCCCTAAGCTTGCTCCTCTTAATTTTATTTGCACCATCAGGTTGTGAGTGCGAAAAACATAGAAGATCTATAATAGAAAATTTGTCGTGTTAATTGTGAGTGTCGACTCTACTCGTATAAGTTATGGCTAGAGGTATGTATGATTCTATTTTGCTTCCGCTTATCGATCCAAATATGTTTGTTCTTATTTGTGAACATGTTTAGATCGAATTTGGTATTAGTATTTACAAACAATGCATCTATTCATTTACATATATTAATTTGGAATTAATATTTACATTTGGTATGAGAGTGAGGTTAACCTCTGTCTGTTATTCATTTTATTTGCATCATTTATGATTGTATGCAAATGTTTAACTCTTAATAAAAGAATTAATTAATGTTAATTGATTTATATAATTTTAATTAATTAGGGAATAGCTACAATATCTTTAATAAATTAAAATTATATATTAAGTTCAAGAATCACATTAAAATATTAGTTGTAATTAATTATAGAAGATATAATGAAATCTACCCACAAGAATTTTATTATATTTGTATGATTAACTAGGATGAAATATCAACTTATATTTCTTAATCTACCCACATGAATTAAGAAAAAGAACATAATTTGATAGTTTTATCACAAAATTTGTTAGACGAATCTATTTGAGTAGAATTTTTGCCCACACGCAAGTTCTATGACACTAGATTCAATGATTTGAGCATGATTTACATTTGTAAAACATGACATTTTGTTTTTGGGCCTTATTAAAAAAAAATTTAATGAGCTTGTATGTTTAAAAAAAAATTTACAGTTATTCAACCTACAAACATTTCTGATTTTAAGTGTGACATTCCTGAATTAAAGAGTGATAACTATAACGTGTGGAAAGAGAGAGTTCTTCTCCATTTAGGATGGATAGATATTGATTATGCTATAAGAAAAGACAAACCCCCTGCCATTACTGAAACCAGCATTCCAGATGTGGTTGATCTTTATGAAAAACGGGAGCGATCCAATAGTGTCTCTGTGATGTTCATAAAGACCAAGATATTTGTTGGTATCCATGGTTTTGTCGAGCAGCATAATAAAGTCAAGGACCTTCTAAAAGCCATCGATGAGCAGTTTGCAACATCTGACAAGGCTATGGACAACACCTTAATTATGCAATTTTCATCCATGAAGCTCACCGAAATTAAAAGCGTGGGTGATCATATCATGCACATGAGGGACATAGAGGCTCAGCTTGAAGCTTTGGAAGTTAAAATTTCGGAATTTTTCCCTCAATGAAGTATGATGACTTTCCAAGTTATTATTTTGAAAGTTTTCCATTTTCATTTCTAGTTTTTCGAGTCCTCTTTGTATTTTTTTTTTCAAACTCGGGATCATAAGACACAATTCCTACAGATCCTTTGTTTTACATACGCAACACAACAAACAATACATTAACAATTAAACAAATAACAGATGAAATATATTCAACACAACAAAATATTTTCACGAACACCTTATTTTCCTAATAGATAACCCTACAAAATAAGCATGAAAACAACCTTCCTTTAAAGTGTAATCTCATTCAAAAATATGCAAGAAGTGTAAAAGAGATTAAGCATCGAAAGACTTATCAAAAGGTGACAGGAAAAAATTTCATTTCTTGCACGTTTTTGCTCCAAATTGCACCGTTTTTGCATTTGTTTTTTCGAATGACCATAATTCATCATACCTACAACAAAACATCAAAAATATCCTTTTTTAAAGTGCAATATCATAAAAAATAGTGTAAAATATGTATGAAAATCTCAACATATTTTCCTTTGGTCAAAATCCCCCAAACTTAACTATTACTTATCCTCAAGTAGATTTAGTACTACATAAAAGTTATAATTATTGTAGTAAAGTTTCAATTCAGAAATACAATAAGTTTGATTTAAGTAAATATCATAGTGAGATTTTCAAAAAAATTCAAGTAATTAAATTAACTCTGTATGTACAATATTATCTAGTCATCATGTTTAAGAGTTCTAGTTTTCTATTCATTTCAAGACTGACTATATGTTGTAATATCAAGTCACTTAGAATATTCAAATGATAAGAACTTCATGAGAGAACTATTAGTAAAAGATGCTAATCAATAAATATAAGTTCAGGAATGTATTTAGGTTTTCCCTTTAGGTAAGTCCAGTGAAGCCAATTTTTTATTAGGAATCTCCTTAAGCTTCTCCTCACTTATATATATATATTTTTTCATTTGGATTGCTTCCAATACTATATATTTGTCTTTTCTTTTCATAGATTGTTGTCAATCCTTTCTTTTTCTTTTTCAAGTGAAGATTACTATATCTGGATTGCCTTTAATAATTTTGAACTTCACTTTTCTTTCCCAAAATTTGAAACTCATAGCATTCCGTTACCTTATAAGTATTTCATAGCTTTTACATCATTGAGCCCCAATCTTTTCTTCTCAAATGAATTTCCAAGATTCTTAATACTTAAAATTATAGTTTCCTTTACTTTAAATGGTTAACTATAGTCTTTTTCTCTTATACTAAATATCTTAATCTACAAAATTAATTTTCATTACAAAAATA